CACCCCATGTGACAACCCACTGCCGTGCGACAAATGTACATCCAGAACCAAGCTACACCACATACCCCAAGGACCTGTACGCCAGCCTCCTTAGATCACCACCACAGTCTACGCACAGACCAAGCGACTAAGCGACCCGAACGAGGGAGAACCACCGAGAGTCAAGCCCCCGCCCTCCCCCCACCTACATTGCGACCGACGACCCGGATTCTCCCAACCCGATGGGAGAACGAGCTACAGAAACACACCCAACACTGACCGCGAGGAGAGTCCCCCAGAGGGGTCAGCGATGATTCTTGACTCCAATAAGCTGCAACCACCCATTCAGACACAGTTCTTCGACGGGATTAAAGAAGCGAGCTCACACAGAGCAGTAGAGGCCGCTGCGACTCAAAACCCAAAACCAACGAAGCCAAGGACTCACGCCATGCCAGATTTACGACAACTCGTATGTACACAATCGTCACAGATACAAAGTGCAAACATAATTTCATAAATGCATTCGCATGTAAATTGGACTGTCTTATAGGCGTCGTATCATCTTTCTGGCCACTGAAACCTTTTTCTGAGCTTTCATGCTTTTCTTCAACTTTGCGTTAGCTTGGCCGTTAGAATCACGAAGTCTAAAAGTAAACATAGAAATTTGACGCACCTCAACTACCCAAACTGGTCACCAATTCAAAAACTTACGTGGATGGCGCCGCCCCACCCTCTACCCCGCTTCTCTTCGTAATATCAGGTGCGAGAGCGTGAACCTCTGTGAACAGCCGAGCCTGCTTAGTGTACTCGTTATAGTCTTCCAACAGCAACTTCCCCGCTTCTTCGTTAAGAGCTGACTCCGGATTGGGAGCGATTAATAGGCAGCGGATAGTCTATAAGTGAGACCAATATGGAGCTCCAGATACCATCAGAATATGCCGTAGACCCAAATCCGATCTCCATTCTTTCTTTAGTGTGTCAACACATATATCTCCCGTGTGCCAATTTATGTTTGGATGGAAAATCTTAGTAGTAAAATAACCCCTCGGAGGGTCCGTGGGATAATTGCTGGGAAGAACCAATTTTATATTAAATCGACCTCCCTCAAAAGGTGTGTCTTTTGGCCCATCAATCATAGCCTAAAATAGAGACGGGGCAAAAAAACAACCTGTATAACAGTGAAGTCCGCTTCGTTTAAAAATAGCTTCACACCATCAATACCGCTGTCCATAATATCACGGACCTCCTTGTAAACTGTCTTCGCGAACTGAGGATATACATTCTCCATCTAAAATGGATACATTTTTTAGTGGTTATGAATACCTGAAGTGCACACAATGTCCTGCGACTACTGACCTCACGGACCCACAAAAGCCAAGGAGAGAAGCCTCTCAATAGTGGCGGCTTTAGGACTGACGTGAACATGTATTTAAATAAACGAAAACTATCAATTATACTATAGAAGTTGTTCTTTTGATTCGAACCTGGTCCAAAAATTTAAGTTCTACAAAATTTTTTAACAAAGCATGCTGTATTGCTTGTTTTACAAAACTAGAGGTCTAATGATACTTACCGGTAATTAGTTCATGCATTTTCCAATGAAACTTAAGCAGCTTTTTTAAAAACGTGCTTTTAAATGAAGGTGTGCATTGAGAGGAGAATTTACTGTAACTTGGCATTTGCTGAACTGAAACTGTCTGATGTTTCCTATAACATGGCTGAAATCTCTATATCAATGCAAAATAGAAGAAGCAGGTGTAATATATTCTAGTTTGTTTAAGTGGACTTGAATAGGCGAGAGGCGGAAAGCAGTTGGAAACGTGGATCACGTGCACGAGGTCGACGAGGAGCCTTCCCACGATTGACATCTCCTGCTCATCACATCTGCATTTTATTCCCCTATCCTTCTTACAGAGATGCCTAATAAACCGTCCACAACCAACTTCCTCTTAAAGTCTGAGAACCAGGGACCAGAGGGTAGACAGGCAGTAACTACAGCAGGGACCTAATTTAATTCAAAAGCCAGTCCTGTTGTGCACCAAGACTTGCATTCCGAAGAAAAAAAAGCAAATGAGCCTGAGCATGGCCT